TCTGGATCAATGGGGAAAGAATAGAAGAATGGAAAAAGGCTATTGTAATACCAATATACAAACCAAACAAAGACCACCACCTATGTGACTCATATAGACCTATGGCACTTATGCCCTGTATACTAAAGGTTTTTGAAAGAATAATTAAAAACCGATTGGAGTGGTGGTTAAATACAACCGGCGCTCTGCCAACTACACAATATGGTTTTAAAAAAGGCTTTGGCACCATAGATGCGGTGACACACTTAGTTACAGACATACAAATAGGCTTAACTGAAAACGAGTATAATGGAACGATGTTTCTAGATGTTAAAGGTGCCTACGACAATGTCAACTGGTTCATCTTACGGGAAAAAATGATACAATTACAAATCCCTCAAGAAGTTGCCAACACGATATGCAAATTATATATAAACAGGCAAGTAGGGCTCAGAGGACATTACAGGTGCCCAGTAAAACATTCAAAAGATCAATAATTGATTATGGTTCTACACTTTATGGAATGGCCAATAAAACAAATCTACGTAAGCTGGATATAATACAATACAAATCACTCAGAATATGTCTGGAAGCAATGAAATGTACACCAGTTGAACCTTTAAACGAATATGACCTAACTAGGCCTTTTTGGATTCATAAACACTATCCTCCTATTTGTGATGGATTAAGAAACGTGACCTTAAAACCATAAACAAAGTTAGAGACCGACTACTTTGATCGCTTTGTTTCCTGTGATGTGAATATACTAGTTTATTCGGAGTTAGCATCATTTAATAGTATAGTCATAAATCAAATTTTAGAGGAACATCCAAACTACGTCACTCTATACACTGATGGATCAAAAAACACCGATGGTACAGGTTGCGCTTTCGTTATACCTAAACGTATACAGAAACAATATAAGCTAAAATATAAGTATATTTTCACAGCTGAGGCAATAGCAATTCTAAAAGCATTAGAATATGTTTATCAGGAAGAGGATCAGAACGCTATAATCTTTTCCGATTCACTTTCCGTTCTTAAAACTTTAAAATCAAACTAAAACACAACTAATCATATTATTTTTAGCATCCAAGCAATACTTACAACAATTACAAGATCAATATATATATATATAATATATATATATATATATATATATATTATATATATATATATTGATAATGTTGTATTTTATTAATTTTATTTTTTATTTATAATAAATGTAATTTTTAAAATATGTGGTTCGTTGTTTAATTTAATATATACCTCAGCTAGCTCAATTATATGTTCTAAGCAATCTGTCACTGTGTGACGTCGACTCTGTAGTCTCCTGGTAGAGTTCAAAAAGAAATTAAACCAAAATTTACTTTAGACCTTTGATAAATTAACCCAAATGAAGCACGTTATTTATTAATATTGAACAAATTTAATATAAACAATAAAATTCGTCTGCAACTTCGGTTGCCTTTAAAAATTTACAAAAATAGGAATCGTTTAAGTCTTAACGTAGTTTAGTGACGTGACAATAAAAATGTATTACAAAATGTGGAGACTCTCTACAAGTACCTAAAAACTAAATAAATATTGCAACTTTATAAAGTGTTTAAATGAACTATAAAGAAAAAGAAAATGAACACTTTATTCCGCTGATACTCAAATATAATCAAAATTTCAAATGATCCCCAAAATTATTGTCCAACCTCACTTTAAAACAGTTCTGATTTCTTTAAAGGAAACTAACTACTCAAAAATAATCGGTGAAACTGGAATATCAATCCTCTCTTCGGAAGTTAAGGTACGTACTATTCTATTTTTAATTTAATGATCATTAATAATTTCAATTTTTAAGGCCTATCGCAATTATGTTAATTCATGAATTTTAATTTTCTCAATTTAAATGACATTTCTATACTCCAATATAATTTATAAGTGAAATTGTTTCTCTTACTCTCTGGAACAAATTTCTGGATATCTCTGCTGTGGAAACTGTGGAAAAACTAAATTCTAATTAGACGAGTTAAAAAACACTCCCGACCTATTCCACAGTTTCAGGGCTCTCCTTCGTCCAAAAAAAACCTCGTCGGCGTCCTCTCCAAAAACCAATTCCCATTATTATCCGTTGCTAACAGCAACCAACGTTCTTTTTTTTTCTGTCTTCTATTTAAATATTTTAAACCATAAAACTGTCCTGTTTGACATATTTGTCAAGCCACATTACTTTCTCATAATCACTTTAATCACATATAATTTGGGAATTTACAAAAAAAAATGTTTAGATATAAAACTTATTCTATTACAATACTAATTTATTCTTTTCATCTCCACATCATTGTAATTTCTTATTTAACAAAACCCCTATTAATTTAGCTCCCACAGACTGTCAAATAAACTGTCAAGCAGTTTATTTTCTGACGTTTATTAAAATTTCTATGTTTAAATATTTTTTTAAAATTCTTCTTTTTTTGTTCTTTTTAAGGTTTAGACGATTCACCTATACACTAGGCAACTATACTATTCAGAAATTATTAACACTATACCAGGTAAGTCAAAATTAATTTATTTAACAATTTACTAATCTTTTTCTCTCTTTTATTTCAGAGTCGAACCCACATTGTGATGGCTTCATGAAATTCATAAACAACAAACTCATATAAAAATCCATTAAAGTTGTATATATTTTAACATATTGAAATCATTTCAATATACATACACACACATATATATATATATATATATATATATATATATATATATATATATATATATATATATATATATATATATATATAATTCTTCTGGGTCAAAGCACACGCAGGAATAACAAACAATGAAATTGCAGATCAAATTGACAAAGAAAGCATAGTAATGGGGGAACAAATAAATTACGAACTAACTACAGACGAACAAATAACCATAGCAAAACAGAGAATGATGAAGAAATGGTCCTATTTATGGCAAGAGTACAGCTTTACAAATCCAACACGTTACACCAGACTTGAAACCAAATTAAAACCTTGGTACAATGAGTACGATTACAGTCGAAAAAGTATAACTACTATCAGCAGAATGAAGTTTGGTCACGCATGTTATCCAGCACATTTATTTAAAATAAAAATACTTGAGAGTGATCTTTGCGAAGCCTCTAATAAAATCGGTGATCTTGACCACATCTTTTTTGATTGTTTAAAATATAGAGCTCAATCTAATGAGCTTTTCAGAAAACTTTTAAAATTAAACATTGAAAGCCCATTTAATATACTGCATCTTCTTACTTTAGATAAAAAAGAAATTTACGATTGTTTGCTGTCTTTCGTCAGAACAACGAATATACAAATATAACCACCTTTGTTAATTCCTTATGTCTTTCCTTAATGTATGCATACCTATCTGTCCGAGGCCTACCTTTTATCGTTTATAAAAATGCCCTGATCGGCCCCTAGGCGAGAAGCGTGTAATCAGTGTATCGGTTTTTAAAAAATTTGTGTCTGGCTGTGGGGGTATTTACCCTAAGGCCAATAAAATAAAACTGTTTTGGAGATTCCATAACTGTTAGTGGCAATATAAAATTATTTTTATCCAATTCAACCTTGACCATACATTTGCCAATAGCTTTACTACCTTGCCCTGAAACTATATTTAACTTACATCTTACTGGACTTAATTGTACCTGCTTACCAAACACTATTTGATAACTATCTGCAGATATTACTGACTTACATGCTCCAGTATCTACCTCAAAATCAATAAATAACTCACCATTTGTCAACAGTTTTAATTTGTGTGGTGCTGAAGCTTCATCTTTTAAAATATTTAACTTCCACAAGTCTTCATTGAGTTCATTACACTGAAACACAATGTCATTTTCTGGGGCTACTTCTGATGCTTGCGCTATTTGACATGCATTAGAAAACGTAAGATGTACTTCCGCAAGCAATTTTTTTTAATGCTTTCATCCATAATGCCACAAACAAACCTAACTCTCAGTGCATCCTCTAAAAATAGTTCAAAATTACATGTGCTTGATAACTTCTTCAGTTCCACCATGTAATCACCAGTCGACTGATTCACTTTTTGTTGGCATTTATAAAACACAAACCTCTCATATTGTTCTGACACAGGTGGCGCATGTTGAATTAACTTCCTTTTTATTTGATAATATGTTAATTCTGTTGGTTTTTCTGAGGCCACCAGATTTTTGAGAGTCTGATAAACCATAGAACCTACGAGTGTGATGAACAGCGAGATCTTCATATTTTCATCTACCTTATTTACTATTAATAGGTGTTCTATTATAGTTTTTCTAAATACGAATTGAAATCTTGCCCACCTGTTCCATTAAATTGCTCGATGTCTCCTATTAGTGCCATTTTCCTATTAGTGTAGTGACTTTTTCTGTGATAATTTAACTGTGGTTATCTTGCCAACCTCGACCATAACCTTAAAACGAATCACATGTGAACTTTAAATTGCTCAAGACCGACCTCGTCGCCAAATGTTATGTATACTACTTGATGAAATAATAAAGGTTGTAAGTTCGGTTAAACAATTATATTTAACACAGTGCTACAATTAACCTTATATAGTCGGATATAATGTTCTCTCACGCACTAGCTTAGATAACCCCCGAACCAAAGTGACACTCTCAGTTCTGCCAATTGTTTAATCCCCGTGTTACCAATCGTCTCCAGCTATAACTAACTTGCCACTAAACAAATATATAACGGGTGGAAGTCTTATTTACAACATTTTAATACATCCAAGTTTTAAGCTTTACGCGAAAAAAGCGCCCAAGGTTCGAGGGTTCATGTATACTTAAATACCGCCCAAACCGTGGCAGGTTACACGAAAGTGTGACCAACATGCCGAGCCAATAGCTCTAGAATTTACAGAAATTGGGGTTACACAGAAGTTTAAAAAAACGGAGCGTTTCATTAAACTTAATTTTTTAAAAGATTTCCTTAAACAAGTATGAATAATATTTGGGATACTTGGTAAAAACAGGAAACAGTAATAAATTTAGTCGAAATTTTTTATTTAAAATACTATCAACTACATTTTGGTAGAAATCGATCAAGCACATGAGCAGGTTTTGTTTTTGTTACATGTTCTGGTTTATTTTTCGAGATAAGTTGACGTTTTTCTTTCACATATTCTTTTTTTCCTTTTTCTTGCAAAATTTTCTTATTCCGTGCCATATTAACAGATCCACCTTTTCCCTTCGCTTTTATTCTTGGTTCATAATTAATTTTTGGGGGTTTTAAATGCTAAAAGAATGAAAAATGTGTTTAAGATTAATCAGTAATACCTAATCTAATAAACAACAAAATGCACGTTGTAACACATAATTCGACTAATAAACTACAAAAGATATTTCGAAGAAGTGAAAGTCCTTTATCTTTGGATTAACTGTAGCAAACAAAATTTAAGATATGCATAAATTATTTTCTTTGTAAAATATATTCAAGTGAAATTAGTGAAACAAAACAATGCGAGCGGGAAATATATTTCTCTGTTAGTTCTTAAGAATTTGTAGAAACCGATTAACCGATATTAATAGTTTTTAGGAAATTTATAATTGTAACCGAACAGACGGAATAAAAAAAATGCGTGATCTGCACGTGATTGTTGAAAAGCGACAGTCAAATTACTTACTTCGCAGAAGTTGTATCGGTCAGTTATCGGTATTGCATACAAGGGCGTACGTTAAGTTATTTTGAAGAAATATTGTGTATTGTACATTTTTGTGTTTTGTAAAGAAATTAGGTAAGTACATATACTAATACAGATATTGGTCAAAAAAGTATTGTGGATGTAATCACGAAGTATAAATATGTATAAATTATTTCTGAACCATAATTTTCTAAAGTCTTCAGCAAAAAGTCGGTTAAACCTAATGTATCACCTAATGGCTGAAATGTTACAAAACATTCGATACTAAATTCGTAAGTTTTTAAATTACCGTATTTAATCTCCGAGATACAGTGGCATATTTTTTGGAAGATCTATTAATATGTATAGACATGACTGGGTCAAATTTCAGGAAATTTATTAATTGGATATTTGTTTAACTTTGCTGACTCAAAGGGCGCCTTTAACGACTTGGCGCTGTCTTGCGCCGCACGACCTTGCCCATATAGACGGCGCATCCCTGATAAGAATATATATTAAAAAACAAGTTAGTCAAAGCGTAAAAATAATTTGTAAAATAAATATCTATATCACTGCCATATTTTAGATATGGATAACCAACAGCAAAATAATGCGCAAGTTGAACAATTCGTTCCAGAATCTCCACCCAGAAAACGAAGACGAACACATTTATCGATGTCAGAGAAAGAAACAATTTTAAATATTTTTAAAACTGATAGACAAACTCGTCCAAACACGAATCAGACAGAATCTGTGAATTTTGTTTCAAGTGCAGCGGGTAAGATGTTAAGTTTTTTTTTTTATTATATTGTATTTATTTTCATATATACTATTTCATATATTGTTATACTATATTGTGTATTTGTTCTAGGGGTAGCAGTGAGCACAGTTTTTAAAGTGTTGGCGGAATATAGACAAACTCGTGTTTTTTCTCCTCAAAAAAAATATCATAGGACAATAAAAATATTAGATAATATTTCAGATGCTACTAAAACATCAATTCGGAGGAAAATTCATGAGTTTTTTTTCAGAAATGAACTTCCAACACTAAATAAAATGTTGACTGAAATTAATAACGACGACAATTTGCCAAATTTCAAACGAGCAACATTTGCTAAATTGGTTAAGGAAATTAACTTTCAGTAAGTAAAAATGTGTTAAAAATGAATTACAATATCAATTACATAACGATTTTTGTTTTAGTTTTATAACCAGAAAAAAGAATAGCATCTTAACAGAAAAAGATGAAATAATCTACTGGAGACGAAGGTATCTACGCGAAATCAAAAAGTTGAGAGAGGAAGGGCGGAAGATTTATTATCTAGACGAAACCTGGGTAAATGCAGGTCAAACTACCAGCAAAATATGGGTGGATGAAAATATTAAAAATCCCAGACAAGCCTTTTTGGAGGGTCTGTCAACTGGGTTAATATCTCCCTCTGGTAAAGGTAAACGTCTTATTATATTACATATTGGATCATTGGATTACCATGCAGATATGAATGCTGAGGTGTTCGAAAACTGGTTCAGAAATATCTTGCCACAATTAGCCAAATCTCTGTAATAGTTATGGACAACGCTTCGTACCACAGTAGACGTATTGATAAATCCCCTACATCAGCTACAAAAAAGGCGGAAATACAAGCATGGTTGAATAGACACGGCATAGCCTTTACTGATAGAATAATGGAAATCACCGTCGAACCATTAATTATTAATCTTAATGATGATTCCGAAACTTCCACTTCCGACAGCGAATAAAATTCCTTAAAATCGCAATCAATTGAGACCAAACATTCTTGCCCTTTGACAAGTGAAGAAATGGAGATCGCACTTAAAGACGTTTCACCGGAAAAAGACCTAGGTTTCGACGGCATCCACCCCGAATGCATACTCAATTGCATTCAGAATCCCACGGGAATTTAAACATTCAAAATTCATAGCAATACTAAAACCAGATAAACCAGTTGATCACCCAAAAAACTATCGACCAATTTCTTATAATATAAATCTTATAGTATAAACTACTTGAAAGATTAATGTTTAAAAGAATCAGCCCAATGATCTGCAGCTTTCAACACAGTCTGACCAGAAGGAATGATTTATAGACTCTTACGTACTCTGCCTTGCAAATTCACCGCTAGACTAATAGAACATATGCTCACCGTCAAAGTATTTCAAGTAACTATGGGATCCGAAATAAGCACCCCCAGAAAACTCAAAAATAGTCTACCGCAAGGCTCGGTACTCGCAATATTGCTTTATATCGCAGACATACCGATAACATCAACAAAGTTTAGCTATGCTGATGACTGGGCTTTATTAACACCAACAAAATCACAAAAGAAGCTGAAGAGATTCTGACGGAAGACCTAGCGATTATAGGACATTACTTTCAAAAATGGAGACTTCGCTCCAATGACTCTAAAACTGAAGTAACCTACTTTCACCTAAACAACAATCTGGAGTCAAGAACACTACTTAACGTTCTTTTGATAACACATGACTCAACCACAATAAACATCCAAAATACCTAGACGTAGTTTTGGACAGAACGGTAAGCTTTAGAGAACATTTAAGTATAGTTGCTAAGAAGCTAAAAACCAAAAATAACATAATTCAGAAGCTCTGCGGCACAAAATGGAGGCATCGGTATCTAGACTCAGGTCTTCAGGCTTAGCTATTGTTTATTCTCTAGCTGAATATTGCATACCAATATGGATCAACAGTACTGACGTTCAAAAGATTGATATCCAGCTCATCCAAACCTACACCAACCCATTTACTACCAATGCTGAGCGACATTACACCATCACACCTTCGCCGACTCAATCTGCTGACCAAAGTATATAACAAGATCCTTAGCAACACGGCGCTGCCGATTCACAACTATATAAAAGATGCAAACCAAGGTCGACTGCCCTCCAGAAAATCTCCAATACAAACCGCAGAATTAGTTGCAGCTACCGAGTTCAACATGACCACCAAATGAATCCATGAATGGTTGGAACCTGAACCAAATACAGTTATACCTTTCATCACAGAGACACCTCCTAAATTTGACCTATCACGTAAGACCTGGTGCACACTTTAAAGCTTCAGTGGGGCAAGCTACCATTACCTACACATTTAAGTTTACATGTGTATAAGTATTGATTCCCCTTTTTGTGAGTGTGGTCAAATAGGAAGTATAATACACATCTTGCTAGAGTGTCCTATCAATAAGACACCACTATTTGATTTATATCAAAAACTTATTAAAGATGGATGCCCAACGCCCATTTCAGTACAAAGTATTTTCCACGATATCAATGCTAAAACCTTGAAAACGATTGGTCAGTTTATCAATATTTTCCAAATTAAAATGTAAGTAAAATATAAATAAACACCCAACCAAAACCTATCCTTTAACCAATGATGTCCTGTCCAAGATGCCAAATTCCAGATATACCTTACATAGCTTAATAGATGGAACAAGAAAAATCTATATCATTGATGACATATAGAATTATTTTAGAATATCCACTATAAATTGTCCAAAATAGTTGGAGGGAATATGGTTATTTCCAGAATCTCTGTGAGGAGAATTCCCTTCTATAATTGAAATAAAAATATATACATGAGATGGCCACGTACCTAAGAGGTGGAGGCCATAAAACGAAAGAAGAAGAAGAAATTGTATTGTCCACTTCTACGCCAAATGCTAGAAATTGTTTAAAATTAACACTATATATATTTCCCGTACAGTCAAGCTTGCGTTATTTACATTTTAGCGGTATCTCAAGCTTTTATAACGCTCCCAAATCATCCTACTGAAATTTACGGGTTTTTTTTTTCATTACAATGTACATAACATGTTTTTATAAAATCGTTTATTACATTTTTTGTCTGTATAATAACTTTTTATTTTATTTTTCTGGTACGTCACTGGTTCAATGCGAACGTATTCGTATAATAGGTTTCTTCCCAACAAGTGGCCGAACCGTCTGAAACTATGAACGAGTAGTCGACCAGCGCAGTAGGGAGGATAGCACTAATGACAGTATTATTGTTCTCTCACTGACCAACTGTTTGCCACGAATTCTGACTAGTTTGACAGTTTGTAGAAATGATTATAATATTTCATAAGTTCACATGGTATTCACGTGGTATTCACGTGATAACTCCGTCACATGGTATTCACGTGATAACTCCGTCTATTGGGTAGACAGGGTATAGATGTAAACGTTCAATGTTTTTTGAAGAAAAAACAAGTTACTTTTTATAAAACTCACAAAGAACGGAAGTACGTAAAAATATGTAAAAGAACAGTAAACTTTATAATTTTACAAAGATACTTTTAAAATGTGACACCTGTGGTGTCGTAATAATTTTGCAGCTGAAGAGCCAGTGGAACCTTCTAATCAATTGGAATATTTTTACAAATCGGTGTAGTAAAATGTAAGCGACATTTTCAATACCTCTCTGATGATACCAAACATGCTGAAACACGTTTATGAAGGATTGTGTTCTTAATTGTCTAAATCATAGACAATTGCAGAAACATGTTTATAAGAGTGCCCAAAGCAACCTGCTACAAGATTATAGGAGAAACATATTTTAGACTCTTTTAGGACAAAGGATTGTGCAAGTTCATACAAATAGAGCCGCACCTAAAGGAACCTATAATCAGAACAATATACAAAATGGATGCGCCTAATATTTTTTGCAAGTATTGAAAGCCTTCGAAGTGAACTGATTCGAAAGGACATTCTCCCATATTCAGCAACACTGATGATTTCTTAAAATCCATAATTTTAAGTAAAAAACTATAGACAAGCGCCAAACACTAATGGAAAGTACTAGAATAATTATTTCTTTAAGAAACAATTCTATCAGACAGATGAGTATCAAAAAATGAAACGAAATGTTGTTTATTTAGATGAGACCTGGTGTGATACTCATGACAGGACAGAGAATTATAATTTTACACTGCGGTGGAGAAAATAGATGGATCGATGATGAATATCTGCAAAAAAATTGAAGACGCGTCTCTAGATTATCATGAGGATATGGAAAGTTTAATTTTTGAATCATGGTTTGAAGAATCTCTTCTTCCGAGATTACCTAATATAGTGTGATTGTCATGGACAACGTATCATATCATTCCAAATATTACTTGAAACAAATTACAAATTCAAGAATTATTATTTGAGAAAGATTTGTACTTTGAGGCATCATATAGTAAAAAGCAATTGTTGGAGGTTGTTTATAGTATACAGTACCAGAAGGAATATGTTGTTGATAACTGTACTAGCAGTAATGGGCATAACGTGCTAAGACTTCCTTTTTACTATATTACATTGAACCCAATAGAGTTAATATGGACTCAACTTGAAGGAAATTTTAAAATATAAGAAGAAGAAATGTGGGAAATTACTATGTTAAATATTTACCAGCATTGTTCTGAAGCTATTTTCTTGTGGCATTTTAAATTAATTACTATTTAACTGGGAATAAGCCACAATTAAAGATAAAAATACGTTTATTGACGTTTCAATTTCCACTTCGGAAATCGTTCTCAAAATACAAACAGTAAATTTACTGTGGCTTAAAGTGTTCTCAAAATACAAACGGTAAATTTTTATCTTTAATTGTGGCTTATTCCCAGTTAAATAGTAATTAATTTACCAGCATTAACCAAATAAACTATAAATTTAAAAGATACGAGTAATACTAGTGACAACAGTGATTCTGAGTAGATTAGTAAGTACTTACTTCGACCTAGGTGTTAGCTGAAACCTTTATTTTTATTGTAATTGTAGATATTCTTGTTTTGCTTCTATATTTTTAAAAATGGTTACAAACACACTTCATGATAGAACAAAAACGTACAAAGTATTTAATTTAAAATAGTCAAAGTACAGGTTAGGTTATTATAAAATACCTACTAGATATATAAAAAAAGATGTTCATAAAAGTTTTAGACCTCTTACCATTTTTAAATTATTGAGGTACTAAGTCTTCTCTCACACGGTGTCAAACCAAAGTTGTGGTCTTAATAGAATACCCTGTATATAATTTAAAAAATGAATTCTCTATTTTTTCCTGATTACAATAACTAAGTTATCAGGGATAAAATGTGCTCATAAGTTTTAAAACTTATGAGCAGTTGTGTTAATAAAACGTTTGTATACTAAAATACTTGTACATAAAAAAATTGTTTAATTGTATGTGATAATTACTTTTATTAACAATTTTTTATAGGTATTATTATTTTACAATAAGTTCTGTTCAGTCGAGTCGATTAGTGTTATCACTCCCTAGATATATCACAGAAGTTAACAACACCGATATTTTTTATTTAAACTTTATAGAAAATGAAACTTTTTGGTAAATAAAATTAAATAAAAATAAAAACTTTTATTTAATTTAAAATTAGATATCTACGCTAGTGTTCGGTAAAGTAGTAGCCCCTTTACATTGTTGCCATTTTGCTAATAATTTAATCGCTCTTGTTCCTATAAATTTTCTCATGAAATTACGAGAATCATGTAAATAGTGTAAATAAATTATTGTAAAACTTTATATAAGTTAAATAAAGTCTCTAATAAACTAAGTGTGTATTTTTAAAATAAAGTTAATAAATTAGATTAATAAAAACAGTTCATTATATTTATTATTATTTAAATCAGATTGAAATATATTTCATTTAGGTTTTGTGTATCTTTTTTGTCATTTATTACGTTGGTATTTCTTTTTATTTCTATTGATTCGTATATGTTCCTCTTCTTTTTATTTTGTTCTGTTTTTAAAATTTTGATGTTTTCGAAATCTTTCATATTTTGTGAGCGCAATGACGTTGTTCTTGTCATATTTGTATAACTTAACTTAAGCTTTACAACGAGGTAAGAAGAGAGAATAATAAAATGAAACTCGTTTTCCTAAGTTTTCGTCCCACAATAACGCTAATTACAGTAGCTAATGATATAAAAGGTGAAAAAGGTCAGATATAACGAATTACTTCCTTAAAGTTCTTGCATAACTAGAAACCACAGAACAGTGCCCTAAAAGGTAAGTAAAGCAGAAAGATGTAAGGTAAAAAAAATAATGGTTTCTAATGTATATTGCTTACACGTGGTTATATAAAATTGGTATAACATACTTACTATTAATTTTTTCTTGGCTTCCATTTTAGCTCTCAAGCTTGGCAAATTAACATCAGAGATAATTGTAGGATTTAACGTAATCAATTCTGGTTTAATCTACAAAACACATAAAGATTACATATTGTAAAAATTAATTTGGTTAAAACTTTTTCGAACTTACGCGTATCTAAATATTGCAGAGCGCGCATAAATAACAACCATTTCAAGTATGTGTAACAAAAATTTTAAGATATGATGTTATAAAAGTTCCAGGTATAAAGACTTTTTTGTAGAGCAGAGAAGAACGACTAGATTTATTAGATAATTATTAGAAACACTTCAGGATGTAACTCGTATTAATAATAACAATGTGTGCTAGTCGCAAACCTTGTGCTTAATTTTTTATTTACCAAAATCTGAAAAATGTAACAAATTTTTGATTTTTGCGCCCATATTTTCGTCTACAACTCGAGAGATAAATCTCGTACAAAAAACTTTATAGAATGTATAAGAGTTGTTTTTTAATTTTCTATAATATTTGATCAGCTAGAAATTAAAAGTTCCCCTGTGCCAACCTCCACCCCAATGATAATGGACGCGGTTTAACTCGGAAGACTGTTGAGTTTAATATTAATTCTTGTAATGTATTAATCTTAGCTTTAGGTTTAATTGTACTAACCGCGGAAATCTTTCGGAACATTATATATAAGTTATATACTAGCGAACATACAAAAAAATATATATGAGGGTATTTTTAAGAATTTAGCATAAGAGTAAGTTTAAAATTTTTTTTTATTTACTACTACTACTAAGGATTTCCACAGTTTTCACTGTCTTCGTTCACTCAACCGTTTTCTCCAATTTTCCCTGTCATTCCAGTCTCCATCTCGCAGGGTTCTTTTCTCCATAGCCTCGTCGATTTCGTCTCTGAATGACCTTCGGGGTCTTCCTCTCTTTCTTCTTCCGATCGGGCTCCATTCTGTGATTTTGTTTATCCAGCGTCCTCTGTCCGCTCTTCTGACGTGGCCGTACCAGGATAGTCTCTTCTCCTCTATATAGTCGATTATGTCTGATTGCACTCCCATTCTCCGCTTAATCTCTGCGTTTTCAATTCTGTCTCTTTTTGTAAGTCTACAGCTTCTCCTCAGGAACTCCATTTCTACTGCTCTTATTCTACCTCTATTTCTCTTGTTTATTGTCCAGTTTTCGGACCCATATGTCAGGATACTTCTTGTCAGGGTATTATATATTCTCTTTTTTGTCTTTATCGTAATGTTCTTATCCCACAGCACTGAATTTAGTTGTCTTATACAGTTTCTTGTTTGTCTTAGTCTGTTGTTTATATCTTCTTCTGTTGTTCCCTGGTTCGATATTATGGTTCCTAAATACTTGAATTTATCTGTTCCATTTACTTGTCTTCCCTCGTCTATCTCTAGGTTTCTCATATCCTTGTTTTCTGTTGTTAGGTATTCGGTTTTCTCTAAGTTTATTTCCATTCCGTTGTTTTTATATTCTTCTTCTAGTTTTCTGAGCATAAAGCTGAGATCTTCTTCATCTTGTGCGATGACTACTTGATCGTCGGCAAAACTTAAGGTGTATAGGTATTCGTCTCTTACTGGTATGCCCATTCCTTCGCACTTTCTCCTCCATGGTTTGAGTGTCTTTTCCAAGAATATTTTAAACAGAGTAGGGGACGTAGCACAGCCTTGTAGAAGTCCTTTTGTCGTCTTAAATGGATTGTAGGCTTTATTTCCACATTTAATAGCTACTTTGTTTTCTTTGTACAGTGCTTTAACTGCTTTTATTAGTGTTTGTCGGATTCCGAGATCATTCATTGCTTCCCATAATTTGACTCTAGGTATTGAGTCGTATGCTTTCTTTAGATCAACAAACGCCAGATGGACCGGTCTACCTTTTGCCATTTTCTTCTCTATCAGTTGTTCTAATGTGTACGTATGATCTAGGCATGATTTTCCTACTGTGAACCCTGCTTGGTCTTCTCCAATTTTTCCTATTATTTCAGTTTCTAGTTTTTCCTTGATAATTTTCCCGTAAAGTCTACCTACCGACGATATTATACTAATTCCTCTGTAGTTTTCACATTTTTTCCTGTTTCCTTTCTTATGTATGGATGTGATGTATGCTTGTGTCCATTCCGCAGGTATTTCCTCTCCATTTAGTCCTCTTTCGAACATTCTGTGTAGTATGCGGAATAACTTTTCCGTTCCGTTTTTAATTAGTTCGTTTGGTATCCCTCCGGGTCCTTTGGCTTTTTTGTTCTTCAATGTCTTGATTGCTCTCTTGACTTCTGTCAGACTTATTTCTATCTGGTTGTATGTCCCATTTCCTGCATGTTCTGTATTCTCTTCCTGAAATTGGGGACGGTTTTCTGTAAGTAGTTCTACGTAGTATTCTTGCCACTCGTTTTCATTAATTTTGCCGATCTGTCCTCCGATATGTCGTTCTATCTCTGTGCATGCTGGTTCCCATCGTTCGTTCTTTTCATTTGTTACTCTTTTCTTTACCTCTCTGTTTTTCGCTCTATATAGGTCTGTCTTCCGTTTTTTGGTGTTTAGGTATTTTATGTGTAGTTTTTTCTTTTCTTTTATACATTTCAATGTGTCTTCCCTTAATTTGATATTCTGATGGGTGTTCCTTTGGTCGTCTTCTCCAAGAGCTTCTAAGGCCGCTGAAATCAGGCAGGTTTTTATGTGTTCATGCATTTCATCTAACGTGTCATATCTGAATTCTTCTAGTTTTTGGTCTAGTCTTCTTTTGTATAGATCTTTTATTGATTCTTCCTGTAATAGAGATAATTTGAGCCTCTTTTCATTTATTGTCGTTCCCGTTGTAACAATCGATGTATGTTTTTGTTTTGTCCAGATATAGGGGAATTCCATCCATGTCACCACAAGTTTGTGATCTGTTCCATACCCTGCCCCTCTTTTCACTCTGGTGTCTTTCACTTTGATGGAGCTTTTGTGGTTCATGATAATGTAGTCAATAATGGATCTTAGTTTTTTTGTCTCTTGAGTCCATGTGTACTTATGTATATTTTTGTGTTTGTAGAATCCGTTCATAATTTTCAAATCATTTACTTCACATAGTTCTATCAATCTTTCTCCGTTGTCGTTAATTGTGTCTTCTCCAAATGGACCCACTGTTCTGTCATTGTCTTTTATATATAACTGTCTTCGGTTGGACCGTATGTTGCTAGTAAAAAAAACTAAAGTTCGTGTAACCTTCTGGCTAAGGTCTAGTGTTAGGGTTTTCAGGTCGCGCAAGCGCCCCTAACATGACTTAACGACTACTTTCGTAGCCGGGACCGACGGCTTAACGTGCCCTCCGAAGCACGGTGGCAGCTCAGTTAAATTAGAAATTTTTAAATTTTTGTCAGTGCCGGGATTTGAACCCGGGCCCTCCAGCTTGTTAAGCCAGTAACAGCCACTAAGCTACGGCTGCCACATGTTGCTAGTATTATAATTTCTCTGCCATACATCTTGATTTTCAGTTTGGCAATTCTCTCTTTTATGGGTTCCCAATCGTCTATAGATTTTTCCCATTTCTTCTTTAGTAGAATTCCAACTCCAGCTTTTGCGCGGTCTTTCTTTTCTACTCCGCTCCAACAATGGATTAGTTCCCCTATTCTTTCAGTGCCGTTTCCTTTCTTTTTTGTTTCCGTTGTGACGAGGATATCGAGATTCATCTTTTCGATTTCTGATGTTACTTCACTGGCTCTTGTTCTCCAGCCCTGCACATTCCATGTGTCGATTCTTAGCTTTCTCTGTTTTTGTCTACGGTTGTTTCGAAGCCGGGTTTGTTAAACTCAAAGCAGAAGTGCCCCCTCCCCTCCCTATCCGATGTGGATTAACACCCGGGGATTAATTTTTTAAAATTTTTCATTTCTGCCAATTGTTCGTTAGCCCTTGGATTTTTTAAGTGTGCTAGGTTGCTAACGCCTAACGCCATAACCCCCTTTTGGAGGACCTATTGTTCAGCCGCCCACTCTGGGTCAGACGCTGTTTGCAGCCGCCCACTCTGGGTCAGACGCTACTATTGTCAGTTGGTCCGCGTCGGGTATTTCATTTCCCCGATACCACCCATATCTGGGAGGCGTTCCCCTATCCGCCACCTGGGGACGCGTCCGGTAGAGGACTGACAACCTCCTAGGATAACCGGTTATTAATAATTCTCATAAATAGTTTGTATACTTGACTGAGCAAGGGTATAGGTCTATAATTCTGTAGATTACATTTGTCCCCTTTTTTGTGTAAGACTATTACTAGACTCTCGTTCCAGTCTTTAGGGATCTGGCTATTATGGAGACATCTATTAAATAGCTCTGTTAGTACAGGGATTGTTAATGTCTTGCTTGTTTTCAAGAGCTCGGTAATTATACCGTCGTGTCCTGAAGCTTTATTATTTTTTAGTTTTTTAAAGCTCTTTCTATTTCGTATCCCTTTATATTTGGTAGTACTTCTGATCACACGTTTTTTATTTTTCTTTTGACGTTCTCCTTTGTTGTTTCATTAGGCTGGCCTTGCGAGCTGTACAAGGATGTGTAGAAGTCTTCGACAATATTTGTTATTTTATATTTGTCCTTCCCTACCTTATTGACAGCGTCTTATATATATATTATATATATATATATATATATATATATATATATATATATAATATATATATATATATATATATTTAATATTTCTCGAGTTACAGGCGAAAATATGGGTACAAAAAGCAAAAATTTTCGATTTTTTTCAGATTTTGTTAAATAAAAAATAAAGCACAAGGTTTGCGACTGGCACATTGATTATTGATACAAGGTACACATTGAAGTGATTACAGTAAAAAGATCGACTCCTGGAAAATTTCCGTTATGGTATGCTTTTCGAAAGATCCCGTCTGGACTAAAAAGAGAGGTGGTAAACCAACAGAGAGATGGTTACAAAAAGTATAACTCTTTTTGTCGTCTTTTCTCGACAGTAGGCTTCTTTTTCGCAGTTTTCGGATATTTTCATAACTTAGTTTGTCTTATTCGGTTTTTTCTTTGTCATTTTATTTCAAATTATAATTTAATATGTTTCATTATCTTCAGTTATATATCTTTCACAACTATTTCAGATATAACTTACCTTTTCCAAAAGTGATTTAACTTCGGCCTCCCGCCTTTGCGCTTTAGATTGGAATGGATTAGCTTCCAAAGTATCGAAGTTAGCTTCCCCTGCTCCTGGTACCAAAATACTAGTAAATCCACGAGATGTTCCAACACCCAATACATCTTCATATGGGCAAAAATTAAAATTACTTATACTACTAGCAAATCGATGCCTTAAATAAGCTCTTTTTGCAGGTGTTGCACAGCATCCACTAAAATGTTATAATCACTTTTAAATAACTATTACTAAATACTTAGCTACAAAAAGTACTTCATTGTTAAATCTATACTGCTGAACAAGAAGCAGGGATATCTTTATTTCTGTAGCTTTAACTTCATTTTATCGATTTTGGGTTTATCCAAATTTTATTCCATTGCTTATCGACTGTAGGTTTAATAAGTGTGGATAAAAGATTTAGAGTGTGTCCTGTGTAAAGTTATTTTATTTTGAATTTCTTATAATGGAAGGTGTATTTTAACTCTATCAATAAGGTAAAATTTTACAATTTTTATGAATTGTAAGAGTCCCGATGTCAATAAACTTTCTGATTACTCCGTTATGACAATAAGTGATTATTGTCGTTAACAGATTTACTGAAACATTTTGTGAAGCGGATCTACCAGAATGAAATCCATATTGATAATCCGGAATGAAGTTGTGGAGTCGCAAGTTACAATTAATGTAACATGCTTTATTTGTCGTCAAATTTTATTTTATTTTTATTGGCATATACTAGTAGTCAATCAGGTGTTGGTGGGAAGCATCGATATATATATATATATATATATATTATAATATATATATATATATATATATATATATATATATATATATTGCCACACTTTCTTCGAAGCTTGCAAATATTGAGTTAATGTTAATGTGAAAATTATCGCTAAGGTTTTACAATCTCTATTTTTAGAAACAATGAATTGTAATCATAAAGATCTGACAAAGTTGAGATGGGATAATATAAGTCACTGAGGATATCTTGATTAGATTGAAGTGCTATACACAGTAGTGGAGAATTTTTCTTTGACCAATATTTAATTGGAAGATCTTGTTCATTACTACTATATTTGAATATAGATTATGGTTGGTTCTGGATATTTTAAGAAGAAATTTGTCTGCAAGGAACTGCCTTCTGTGATTTAAATGAGGCTCAATAGCTTCTACATGAAGAGATTCGACTGGAGTTGTTTTCATAGCACCAAAACATAAACGTATGACTGAGTTCTGCAAGATATCTATTTTGTTTAAATTCTGTGAACTAACAGAGCCGTACAAGATACATCCATAATCAAAAATGGACCTGATATAGGTACGATAGAAAAGTAAGGCGGTTTCAACGCCAGCCCCCCATAATGTCTTGTAACCATTTTTTTTAAATTAACCCTTTTATATATCGGTCTAACATGTAATTAATATGCATTTTACATGTCAATTTCCTATCAAGTACCAGGTCAAGATATTTGACGGAGTCTTTAAGGGAAAAATTGTAAGAACCGAGGTCCATGAGAATTGTAAGAACTCTGAGATAAAAGAATTAAATAGTGTGATAGAATCATAATTACATCATTTAAATAAGTTTAATTAATTAATTAATTAGCTAATTAATTGCTTGGCGCACTTAACACATTGAATATCACATTAATATATATATATAATATATATATATATATATATATATATATATATATATATATATATATTTACCTGTATATTTCCACAACATTTCCCATTCCTGCCGCTAATAGTCGTTTCTGAGAAAAATTTAAATTATTTGCTGCTTGGACGAGTTTATACTCTTGAATAGGTCCCTCTAATTTTCGTATGTCCCATAGTTTTAATTCTCTGTTTGATGCTGAAGTAGCCATATATCTAAAACAAATCACGACGCCTTTTATTTATATACCATAAAACATAAATTTTTAATTTTTAGCAGAAACGCCAATCAAACTACATTCAACAACGGTCGACCACCTGATTTAACAAGCGATTAATCGTTAGTTAACCGTCGAACGTAAGTGTTTTGAGTTTCTGAAACGCCGATTAACTAGTTTCGCATGTCAAACGGCGGTCAAAAAGGACTGTCACCTAATTTGAGGTTATTGATCGATTAACAGGCTGTTAACAGTTTTTTTAGATTTGAAATTAGTGTTAATAACAAACACCGAGAAAAATTTGTTATATAACTCATCTGTAAATAAGGTAATTAAGTCATATTATTCAATAAAAATAAGACTCTTTTGTGAAAAAAAGTATTTAAAATATTTATTGAACTTGTACAGTCTTATTAATAAAAATTGCTTAGTCCGAAGTTAGTCTCGGACTAGTTAGTCCCAGATTAAGCGAGTACTAACTTCATTTTCAGAATGTTATTAATAAACATGGACTAAGCTCAGACTAACTAAACCTTCCTTAGTCCTAGGTACAACAAGTTTATGTTGGCAACCATTGCGAAAAAGAAGAAAACTGGAGAGAATTTTGTGAAAAAGAAGAAAAATATTTTAGAATTTGACAGTTAGCATAAGTTGGAGCACATAGAGTTAATTTTAGTTGGACTGTGTTCGGAGAAAGTTTGTTTATATTTAACAGTATTTTTTTTATCTGAAAAGTTTAAACTTCATAAAAGTTCAGGAGGAAACTTTAAAAAATATTTTATTACAAAGGGAAAATATAAAAAATACAATAAACATAATGAATTGTAAAATATTTTATTAAATAAATTTTATATATTTTAATATGTCTTAAATGAATATTATTTCACTGATTTCTATGGTCATTAAGTTGTTCTTTTAATCTTAAGTCGTTGATAAAATAATCTTCCATTATTAAATAATGTATGAATAATCAAAAACAATTCAGGTTATGAATACCAAAACGAAACTCAACTCAATTTCAATTGTCAAGTTAGTCACTCTCTAAACCTGCCACTACCTCGGATTAAATGTTAGTCCGAGACTAGCCAAGGTTTAGCTTAGTCTGTCCTTAGTCGCTGATTATTAATACGAAAAATGAATGTTATTGGTGTAGTCCTGGGACTAATGTTAGTCCAAGGTTAGTCCGTGTTTATTAATAAGAGAGGTAGATTATAGGCACTTCTGACATTTCTGATTTTTCATTGTCGAGCGATGAGGAGAATGTCGTCCCTATAGTTAATCGTAGAACCAGGATGAATCGTATGACACACTACAATCAATGATACTGAATATAAAAAACGATACAGAGTGTCTAAAGGAGTTGTGACAGAATTAGTAGGACTAATAGATAATATAGAACCAACAACCAAACACAACAAATCTAAAATTACTAAAAATATAGGTTACTGTAATTGTAAGTTAAGATCAATGACGTATAATATACATTTATTATATATGCCATTGTGTAAGATAAACATACACTTACTTGAAGCATGAGATACATTAAATGAAAGGGAAGGATATCATGAATACAATAAGATAGAATAAACAACCAATGCGACTACCAAAACGGAACTACACAGTGTGTTCCACAGTAAAATAGTTTAATTAAAAGACAAATTTTGATGACTAAGTACAAAATAAACTACTGAACGAATTCTAACATGCGACATAGCAAATGAAAGGGGAGGAAATAACGAATATATTAAGTAAAAATAAAACAAACTAAGTGACTACCAAAAGGGTACTACATAGTATTTTCATTAATAATGAATGTATAGCGACATATGAGATATCATAGGGTACTATAAATACACATACCAAACCAGACCTCGGGTAACCCCAGTGCTGAGAGACAGTTCTTGTATTTATACAGAACACGATACTGGTTCGTCTCAAGTGAGGGGAGTAGGCAGATTGAGACCCCGAACTCGAACCGAACCGTGGGAGCCGAAACGTCGAGTAATAAATTCTCAACGCGGTTCTTCCCGAGAACTAAGTAATTTTCATATATATATATATATATAATATATATATATATATATATATTATATATATATATATATATATATATATATATATATATGTGTGTAGGAATTAGTTACTTTAGTCTTAAGTTAGAACTTATCGTTACGCCACTGTTCGAGCGCTGGGAAACGGGTGTTCAGGCAAATGGTAGGGAACTCGACGACGAGACAGCGACGTGATAAGACGTAGCAGAGAGAGCGGTTACAAAAGTACGGTATGTGCATGTGCGGCATACAAAGTGACGAAATAAACGACGGTATGTGATATAACATACATTGACGACGGTATGTGCGAAATCAGAGATCATACAAACGACGCTATCGAGTAATAAACGACGTTAATAGTACGACGATAGACACGAGACATTTGCGAATAAGAGTGATATTGCTATTGTGCACGAACATTATTACCTAGACGAACAGTTGTAGTGACGATAATAAATACTTTTAGTAAGCAAAGCTTTATTTTACACCCTAGACAACACAACAAAGCCTACAATTTGGGGACTCGTCCGGGATCCAAAACAAAAAAGGCGCCAATATTGTCGAAACATAATATTAATGTTCGATTCAACACAGGAACCTTAGTCACAGTATAGTGCTTACTCAGTGGAAGCGATATCGAGGCGTTTGGATTTTGCAACGACGCATCGACCATTCCGAGAACCGTTGAGTAGCTGTGGCGCCGACAGATCGCTTGAAGGACGGCTGACGTAACCTTTGGATAAACAAATAGTTGGAGGTATTATCTACGAACCGTTATCAGGTGGGAAGATGCATGCTTGACTTTTATGTTAATATGTATTTCAAAGACTTAAAGGATCTGTTTACAGTATTTTGTGGACTATTTATGATAAAAACACTTTGATTTATTTGGTTTCGGTTTTAATAGATTTTTATGATTTGTTTATGGTAAAGACATTTTAATTTAGATTACAGTTTTGCTAAAGGATATTTTTTATGTTAAGTTTTAATTCTAACTATGTTATTAAATATAGTATTAAATATATAATTTGCTATTAAATATAGTAAAAGGTTACTCATTTTATGCTAATGAAATATAATTGTTTACTGTCGCTAAACGTAGTAAGATATACTATGTTCTTATTGATGAATCTTGTAATTCTATATACACTGCTTGTAGATATTTTAATTTGTTAAGTAAATGTTCGAGCACAATTAAGCAGTATCTCCGGTTTTACTATACACTACAGATTTTTTTTATAAAGCAAAAGGGTTATTCATTTTTATTTGTTTTCTTTGCCAGGTTGATTCGCACATACTATTGTTACTTTTCAGTTTAATGGGACAGTCTTTCATTTTGTACAAGAATGGCTAGTAACGAGGCGCGAGCTCTGATAAATTTTCCTAAAATCGAAGCAAACCTTAAGAGCGGTAACTTAAATGCTATTAAAGCGTTGCATTTTATTGCTTTTGGCAATCGGGGTGAACCGCGTAAGCAGAGGAAAGCTCTTCGCGATTTTCAGGGGTATAATGTGGAACCAGATTCTCCTGAGTTCGAACGGATCGTGCACGACGTTAAAGAAAATGTTGAGTTACCTGATTTGATCTCCGTTTGTAATATTTTAGATTTAAATTATTCGGGTACAGTAGATGAAATTATTACACGGGTTTGTGATTTTATGAATGATCTCAATATCGACAAATACGACCAGGGAGATACAGACGAAGAGGAGAATGAAGTTGATGAAACAGTAACGACGCGAAAGGACACAGGACAAAGAAATGCTGTAGGGGGTAATATAAGACCCAGAGGAGTTAGAGATGAAGAAATTCTTGAAAATTTTGAAAGAAATAGTACGGAATCAAGAAGAAATGTAGGTGACTTCTTTCCTATTAGTTTTAGAGACGTTGAAGACACCATAAAATATTTTGATGGTAAAGAGGAGTACCCTATAGAAAAGTGGATAGAAGATTTTGAAGAAACAGCTGATTTGACGGGATGGAACGACCTTCAAAAATTAATCTTCGCGAAAAAATCATTACGTGGCATGGCTAAATTGTTCATTCAATCGGAAAAGGGAATAAGATCATGGACTATGCTGAAAAGGGCGTTAATAAAGGAGTTTGAGATTAAGACGAGTAGTGCTCAGGTGCACAAGCTGTTAATGCAAAAGAAAAAAGGGCGAGAAGAGTCTGTCCAGGAGTATGTGTTAGCAATGCGAGAAATCGGAAGTAGAGCAAACTTGGAAGCGGAAGTTATAATACAGTATATTATAGATGGTATTCCAGACGACGCAGCGAACAAAATTATTTTGTACGGAACTACAAACTTCGCGGAGTTCAAAGAGAAAATCAAGCTGTACAATCAGATTAAAACAGCAGGAGGATACGCTAGTCAAGGAGCAAAGCCAAAAAGGGAATGGAAATATGAAGACTATCGGAATAAAAAAACTGAGAAGCCTAAAATAGAAAATAATAGAAGTGTCGTCTGCTACAACTGCGGAAAGAAAGGACACAAATCTCGGGAGTGTCCAGAGAAGGGTAAGGGGATAAAATGCTTTAACTGCAACGACTTTGGACATTTGTCAGCCAGATGTCCTAAACGCGCAAGTAAGTCGGATTCCGTAAATGTTATTGAATCAATTCCTAAAAATAGCGTGAGACTCGTTATTGATGGGATTGAGACAATCGCACTATTTGACACAGGAAGTGACATAAGCGCATTGCGGGAAGATGTTTATAATCAATATTTTTCGAAAATATCGTTAGACCAAGAAAGAATACCTCTTAAGGGTCTAGGCAATAATACGGTACGAACTATAGGCTCATTCACTCACGAGGGTATAATAAATAATGAAAATTGTCTTCTTAAATTATATATTGTCCCAACGCAGGCTTCAAATTTCAGGGCGATAATTGGTAGTGATATATTGACCCAGCTAGACGTAGTTATAAATACGGACGGAGT